GCCTCCACTTGTAAAGTAGAAGTCATTTAGCATGCCGAGATGTGCCAAGACATGGCTTCGATCAATAATGTCATCTGAACGCTTGTCTGGATTGTACAAGCTCTGCGTGCATCACTAGGTGTTAGAAAGCCTTCACTAAAGATGTGAGTGATCGTTTTGTAGCGAATACCACCTGCAGTATTTACTTAGCCATTGAAATTATGCTGCTAATGTTTTGAGTAAGTCATCATAATTTTCATTACCTTTTAGTGCTTAAGTTTAATCCAATAATAATTTTAGTGAATAATAATTTGGTGATAACACTGATGTGTGATATTGCTGATCATACATTACTGGAAATTAGGTTGATTACACTTGATCACACTTTTATATAGATGTATATACCTGTTTTGAATAAACTTATGTCAGATCTTGTCTTGTATCCCCCCCCCCCAAAATGCGGACGCCCATGATCCAAAACTATGCGTAGGGATCTGTCAGTGTATATTGTACACTTATCTAAGTATTCTGATGAAACATCGATGCACCTAAGTTGGTACATATTTCTCATATCAGTACAGTATACAGCAGTACAGGTTATTAAATAATATTCAAATCTTGCCTTGATTTGAAAAATAAAGTATTCTTACCTAGTACAACCGTATAAGGAAATATAAATGTTAAAAATTTAATAGTTAATAATCTCATGTGTGATATATATACTGTACAGTAGTGTAGACATGTATTCAATGTCACAAAATTACCAACATTTCCATTCCAACAGATTTACAGATACCCAGGTGCTGGTCATCTTCTTGAACCACCATATTCCCCCTTCTCTGAAGCATCTTACCATAAGATGATTCGTTTGCCCATGCTTTGGGGGGGTTCACCAAGGCACCACATTAGATCCCAGTCACAGGCATGGGTGACAGTGTTAAACTTTCTCCGCAGATGTGTTCATTGAGTATTGCAGTACAGTACTTATTACTTTACTTCAGAGTCAAGGTAGTGCTTTCTCTATTGTAGTGCCGAGTGTAAAGTCCAACAGTGTGTAACAGAGACGTGACCGATCGCCCAAGCAGCTAACGAGCCGATCAGTGGTGAAGAGGATAAAAGTAAAAAGTAAAGATTGATGCATAACAGTCTTTGACTTTCATGTCTAGCTAAGTGAAGGACAGATGTGGTAATTCCTCTAAACCAAACAACATCTTGAAAGAATTTAAATGGCAATAAATGACCATCCACACACTATTCTAACCATTTTAGCTTCTCAACAAAAATTATTCTTGAAATAAGGCATGTAACATGTGTGTGTATGTGTGTTTTCTTTTGTTTTTATCCAAGAACATGGGTTATGAGAATTGCCCAGGCAACCATCTCAGTTCAACCATTACTGTAGGTTATGTAATTGATGATATTTGTTATTTTGTCTGTAAAGGTAAAAACTTAAGATTAAGTTAATAAAGAAGCCTGGTAGACCAGACAACCTCAACAGAACAGAACAACAAGAGCAGAAACAAACACATGCTGATGTGAAGAAAGTCGAGTTAGCCGAGAGAATGAAGCTCATTCTTGCCAAAGACCCAGTCAATCATCGCTACAAAGTGTCTAATAACCATCTGTTGAAATGCCAGGAGCCCTACGTTCAGCTGTATCACGACCACATCAATGCTAGCTGTCAACAAAATATCACCGAGTTCTTCACCCGCCAACCATCACAGCCAGCCCAAGTCAGTGATAGTGAGGATGTGGACTTCGAGGGGTTTGAGGAGGAGGCCCTGCTAGCCTCTGTGGTGGATTGAGAGACAGGTGAGGGCTAATAATCTGCCCCTCTGCTTCGGAACCAACCCCCATCCCCATGTGCCCAGTCATCTCTTCTACTAACGTAAGTGTTAAAAAACCTAATATTATTGATATTTCTCTTATATATTAATTGTGTGTGCATACCATCATAAAATTAAGATGTTATTTTACTACATTGTACAGTATTGTGTCGGCGATAGCCAAAAAAAGGGTAGTCTGGCAGTCTGGCAGTCGGCCCAGTCTCTACTTCAATTAATCCCATAGGTTCTGTTTTTTTTACGCGTTTTGATTTATAAGCGGACCTCCATGGGTTTAATTAACCTCGTAAAACCAGATAATATATATATATATATATATATATATATATATACAGTTAACCCTCACTTTACGCGGTCCCGCATTCCGCGTTTCCACGTTTACGCGGTGCCTTGCCAGAACCTAACGTGCTCACATTACGCAGTACGTGAACCCCATTACGCGGAGAGTGTCCAGCGCGACGCTATTTTTAGATTCGCCCCACCCGCCTGCCTGCCTGTGCTCCTCGCCTCTCCCTCCTCCTCCCTCCGCTTGGGCAAGCCGCACGGTAAGGTTGCGCAGTGTGTGTCTTTGTTGCGTTATCACTGACGTCATATGACGTATCGGACTGTGATTGGCCATGCATCCCTACCGCCTCTGCTGCTAGCTGTAATTGGCTTAAAGTATTATGACGTGTCCACCCGGGGGAGGGAGGGAGGGAGGAAAGACGACGCTTGACCTAGCTGCGGCAGTTTCATCCCTCAAGGCCACACCGTGTAATCGTGCATCCATTGTTCTGTAAAATGGCTTCCGCCGGACCACCACCCCCAGAGAGAAACCTTTCCTTACCTGGACCCAGCGGCACTAAGCCAAAGAAGACACGACGTTCCTTAAGCTACGAGGTGAAGTATACCATCATCCAAGAGTTGGAGAAAGGAACAAGGCAGGTTGATTTGGCGCGCCAGCATGGTGTGAATGAATCTACGATTCGAACAATAAAGAAGGATGCAGCCAAGATAAAGGAGCACATGAAGATCACAAAGTCTACAGGTGCTTCTATGATCAAGTATTTTCACAACCAGGTGCTTCTCAAGACAGAAAAATTACTTGTGAGGTACTTGGTGCGTCAGGCGCGACGGAACATGGCGGTCGACACGCGCTCTGTTAAGGACTACGCACGTGAACTGTACATGGCAGTGGCACGAAAGATGGGAATTACAGAGCCCAAACCCTTTAATGCTTCCTCTGGGTGGTTACAGAGGTTTAAGATCCGGAACAAGATCACCAATATAAACATTGGTGGTGAAGAAGCGAGTGCTGACCGTGCTGCGGCTAGGGAATTTCCTCCGTTTTTACGTGAGATTATGGAGGAAGGACAGTACAGTGACGACCAGGTGTTTAACATGGACGAATCTGGTCTTTTCTGGAAAAAGCTACCTTCCAAGTCCTTCGTTGTAAAGAATGCCAGCAGGATTCGGGGCCGGAAGATGCAGAAGGAACGCATCACCGTCCTGTTTACCACCAATGCCTCCGGTACCTGTAAGCTCAAGTTATCGGTGATCCACACAGCACGCAAGCCGCACGCCTACAAAACCATGGACATGACCAAGCTAAATGTCCACTGGCTGACCGCACGTAAGGCGTGGATGTTCTCTACACTGTCCCTCTCCTGGTTTGATGACTGTTTTGTTCCCGATGTAAAGAAATTCTGTGAGCGACAGAATGTGCCATTCAATATTTTGTTGCTGCTGGACAACGCACCAGGACACTCGCCCCTACTGTTAGATCGTCACCCCAACGTAAAAGTGGTCTTCCTTCCTCCCAACACTATGTCTATATTACAGCCCATGGACCAAGAGTTAATCTGTAATGTAAAAGCTGCATTCTCAACAAAAAAATTCAAACTCCTGAACGACTACACCAACACCAGGGAAGAGTTGCGTAACCTGAGTGACACCACCACCGATAGCAAGAGCGAAGAAGATGAGGATCAACAGTTGGCACAGCAAAAAATACTGTTCAAACAATTCTGGAGAGTATTTAACATCAAGAAAGCTGTGGACTTCTTGGTGGAGTCATGGGATCAGCTGTCTATTGCTACAATTCGTCATGCATGGAGACATGTGTTGCATGGAATACCAGGTGAGAGGAGTCAATCTGTGACTGGTGAGGTTCAGAATGTTGCAGTAGCAGTGGACCTTGCCAGAGAAGCTGCGCAGACTGTTACAGTTCCAGGCTTCTCCGAGACCACCAACGACGACATCCTGGAGGTGATCAGAGATCCTGAAGTGACTGCCGACGAGATGTTGGAAGAAGATCACGTCAGTGAAGAGGAGGAAGAAGGTGCGTCATTCTCCGAAGAACACAGTTTAACTCATAGTGATATTAAGGGTGCCATGGAGTGTGCAGAGAAAATGAAGTCCTTCCTTTCCCGCGACAATGACGATGACCGCTATGAAGTCTTCCATACCCGGCTGGTGCAGGCTATGGAGCCGTACATCACGGTGTATCAAGACAACATAAACACCAGCCGTCAAAAAAGCATAACCGAGTTCTTCGCCCGCAACCCACCACAGCCAGCCCAAGCCAGTGATAGTGACAGTGAAGATGACTTTGAGGGATTTGTCAGGGAAGCCCTGACAACTGTAAGTGACAGTGATGGTGATTCACCTAGTAATGGTGATTCACCTGAGGGCCAGTAATCTGCCCTCTGCCTCGGAACCAGCCTCCATCCCCGTATGCCGACCCATCTCTTCTACTACCGTAAGTGTTCCACCTAACTTTTAGTTTTTCTAACCTAACCTTTATTTTTCCTATGTTAACCTTTATTTTTCCTAACCTAACCTCTTCTATATTACTTGTTTTTTCATACCATCATAAAGTTAAGATAAAATTTTTACTACAACATAGTTGTGTGTCGTCAAAAAGTGGAGTTTGGGGGTCGGCCCGGACTCTATTTCAATTAATCCCATATGTTATGTTATTCACTTTACGCGGGACCCTGCGGGTTACATTAACCGCGTAAAGTGAGGGTTAACTATATATATATATATATATATATATATATATATATATATATATATATATATATATATATATATATATATATATATTGTGCACATGTATAAACAATCACATACACAAGTCTGTATAGGAATATACAAAATGCGTATATGAACGGAGTAATATATAAACACTGATATATTCTGACACTTTATAACTTGCTCTTAACTACAGCACTACTACAGTACAGTATTGTTATATACGGCCAGAGTCAAATTTATGACAACTACCGGGTATCTAGATATTCACCAGGAATCATGAGCATGACTTGATGGCTGTCAGTGGTACAGGTGACATCCTTATAATTATTATTATCTTTATTAGCAGCCAGTTTTAAGTTTCTTATATACTCTGTTCAAAGAATATGTAAGAATTAGGTAGGGAAATCTAATTTATATACTGTTTTGTAAAAATTGTTAGACTGTTTTATATACAAGAAATCTTAGAAAAAAAGGCAACATATTACAATAGTAGCTATTAATTATAAACAGTTTTTTCTGTACCAAATAATTTACCTGAAATGTCCATAATACAACGTAAGAATCATTTACATGTATAATGATAAAACAAGATAGAGCACACAAGTTACCACTCATACATTACCATCCAATAGCACACACCCTCATTATTTCATCATTAAATGCCCATCACTATGTCACAACATATGATAATAATAACAACCTGGTCATTAATGTTAAACCATTTGGATAAGAAAATAATATTTTAAATTTTATTTCCATGTACATTAAATGATGCAAAGATGTTTACTGTAATATACAGTATACCGTACAGTACTTCCTGATCTTTTGCACTTATTGATTTTCCACTTTAATGTCAGATGAAGACTTACTTTTACTGGTAAAATTTTCCCCCAAACTAGTACTGTAATGTGTTTTGGTAAGGCCATCATATACAGTAATTCATAAAAAATTGTGTTTCATGTAAGGCCTGATATTGATGACCTCCACCAGAAAAACAATACACCATGATAATATAATTCCGAACAAAGACATCCAAAAAAAAACCAATTGGATAAAGGTAAATCGGTCTTCACATTTCTATTCAAAGTCACAAAATATTGTTGTTATATCAAATATCCAACTAAATGTATGGGAATAAAGGTTTAAATAAAACAATCACAATACAAATAGATTGGTAGACTGCTAAGATTCATTACCTATCATTCCCTTGATAAAAGAGTATTCAGGTGGAAGGATTATATTATGCAAAGAGCAGTGGAATTTATCACCACTGACCCAAGTTTAGAGGTGGATAATGACCTACTGTACCCTGAGCTGGAAAAGTGCCAAACATGTAGCCCATGGCTTCTCCTGCACTTGGTGGTTCTCTATTATCATTATTAGGCAGAATAAAATGAGGTATAGGTTCCTGGGTGGGTTGTGGAGGCCCTTGAGGTATGTGCATCACTCCACCATGGGTAGGTTCGCGGCTCAATTTTCTCCTGCGGATAATACTACTAGAAACTGTGGTTCTAGCATTGTTGACTCCACTGCCACCTTCCCCTGCAGTTATTGCTGCTGTGGGAGCATTTGCTTTAACATAGCCTTCCAAATTCTCCAAATGACCATGCTGCTTGATGTGTGAGAGCACTAGAGGCTTACGCATAAATCCTGCACCACAGAGAGTACATTCATATGGCTTTTTATCTGAATGAGTAAACATGTGGGCCCTGCAGTTATTTGATGAATTAAATGCCTTGCCACAAACTTCACACTTAAAAGGTTTTTCTCCCGTATGTATTCTCATATGTTTCTTAAAATGCTGCTGATAGACAAACCCAGCATCACAAAATTCACACTTATAAGGTCGTTCACCTGTATGAATACTCATTATATGACCATTTAATAATCTTTTCCATTTAAAGGCTTTGTCACATAATTCACATTTGTACCTTCTTTCTTGGAGATGTGTCACCCTCTTATGTGAAGATAAATTACTCTTCTGACGGAAACATGTTCCACAAATGTCACATTCAAATGGCTTCTCCCCAGTATGAGTTCTTTCATGGTCCTCTGCTTTGCTCTTAGTTGTAAACACTTTACTACACTGTCGACACTTAAACTGCTTAATGTGCGTAATGTCAAAGGCTTGACAACCTGGCTTTCGTTTCCCATTTTTCTTTTTCCCTTTGTGCAATTTCTTATGCTTAATCAAGCTATCAGTAGTCAAGAAACTTTTTTCACACATATCACATTTAGGTGTTTCACTACTAAGTCCGTGTGATTCTATATGTCCTGCCAGGAGAGTCCTAGACTGGAATACTTTTCCACATAGAGTACAGTTATGTGTTCCATTTTCATCATCTGTCTCATCTACTTCTTCTTGATCCCCCTGAATGTTATCTTCTTCATCTGATGTGATATGTTCCTCTTTCAATTCAACTTCTGGGGCTAAACTCTCATCAACACCTTTCAAAACCAGCTTACCAGACTTGACTGTTAATCTACCAGCTTTCCGTGGTCGTCCCACTTTAGGTGGCCTGCCCCTTCTGCCAGTGACTTTAGGCTTTGGACCCTTACCTGTAAAAATCAGTGCCACATAATATTTATATAAAAGCTCATTGACAATTTCATATCATTAAAATCACAGTGAAAGATAAATATTCTCCAAGCTGCAATACTGGTGGACTTAAAAATTACTGAGTGTAAAATGTAAATTTCCAGTTGGATCCCTTGATCTAGCCAAGGTTTTTTTTTATACAAATACAGTACACTGTACCAATTCAAAGCCAGAGAAGCCAAAGGCTTTTAAATAGCAACCCTGACTGACCATTTTCTATTTTTAATTGATCATAGAAGATAGTACTTCAGGAATTCACCACCTGCAGCTCTACACAAATCTAACCACTTCTGTCCTATACCACAGGGAAGTGGGTGGGTAGCTAGCTGGGCCTTCAATCAAATAAATGGATTTCAGGATCCATCCCTCATTTAAAATCTACAAACTATATGCGGATAGTCCAAGATGCAAATGCCAGTTATATTATGGAAAGAGGAGGATATTGGTCATATGTATAGCAACCCTAAAGAAGCTCGGAAGTTATAAGGTTAAATTTACTCCATGTGGTCCATCCCTTCATTCCTATTTTGTAATACAGTACTAAGGAAGTGGACAGTCTCACACAAAGAATAATGAAGCTGTGATTCCTCTGAGGTCATGTGCTGGCTTGAGACATGTACTTGTAATAATTCTCAAGATTACTATATCCTTTAGAGCTTTATATACTGTATATACCTCAGATTCAAGATGAGATGCTTTGTAATTTATGGATATGAGTGAATGGTGATATTTGTCTTTTCTGGTCTGTAAACAGGAAACTATTCGAACTTGGTCTACAGTCTAAACCTAAGGATGATCATGACATGACAGCTTCCCTTTCGTGGATGAATTCCAGAAACCCTAGCTCTCCCTCCATCAATACCTCAATCACCCTCTTGTGATCTGTTGTGTAGAAAGGCCTTGAGCTCGAGGATATGGTAGTAGGAGGGGTGGATGATAACTTTTAACTGCGACTGTACATGTATAATCATGTAATGTTGTATACTATCTGCAAATGTGCAAAGTTATGGGAATTAATTGATTATATTTTTTCATCATTTTCAAACTACAGCCAAGTATATTTGTTTAATGGACAAATGGTTTATCAGTCAATTCATCATCTTAACAATTTTCCTTATTACTTTTCATGTATCTATGTACAGTGGTCCCTCGATTAACGAACGGTTCAATTAACGAAATTTCGGTTAACGAATTAGCTCCCATAAGGTTTTTCGGTTCCATTAACGAACAAAACTTCTATTAACGACAGCCTTATGAGAAACACGCCTTGATGTGCGCATCAGCTATCGGCTAGTCCGCCAATACAGTAATTGGTTTACGTTTACATTCGTTTCCAATGGAGTAAATATCAAGAAAGTTGTTCTCTTGAATATTTTTGCATTTTTTATATTAAAATTATTGGTCATTCTGAAATTTAGTTAACATATTGATAATATAGACAGCACAGGGAACAGTTTTTGTGTGCCCTTCAGCTGATCGAATCACCCACCAACGCTTCTCAGTTTAACTTTGTTTACAGTGGAGTGATAATATACAGTGCAGAAATTATTATGAAACATGAAGGCATTGGAACCAATGCACTCTGTAAAGAATATGGCATGTCATCATCGACTGCCTTTACAATCAGCTGTTTGATATGTAAACAAAGCTGCCAGGAATTAGACACACACCTCAAGGTAAGTTAAAATATAGTATTCTATTGTTTTTTATTTATTATTATATACAGTATACTGTACAGTACAGTACTGTATTTAGTTTATATTTGATGTTTTGTTAATTCTATTACCAATATACAGTACTTTGTATGTATACTTTTTCTGTGAGTTGGAACCAATTACTTAATATCCCATTGAAATAATAGATTCAGTTAACGAATGACTCTGTGGAACCAATTGTGTTGGTTAATCGAGGGACCACTGTACTGAGACTTTGCTCTGACACAGAAGGTAAAACACAGTTCCATTTGCTGTCACAGATATATTGTCCATAGAGGCACAATAAAAATAGATAGATTTATTTTAAAATCCCATGTTATAACAGCACATATTAGGCAACTCAATTACAGTCCATTGTTTATGAGACTGAAAAAGCCAGGTCTCAGGACCCCTGATAAAAGTGGACCTGAGCTGTATTTTCCCATGTGCAACATCCAACAAAAATCCTAAAGTTATCAAAGAGAATCAAATATTTAACAAAAAATTGGTGGATAATGTCATAACACAATACACAAAGCAAAACTGTAGAAGCATGAAATGTTGCCACAACAATAGCAACTAAACATATACTGGTATATGTAGCCTCAGCAAGATATTGAATATTATAGAGGGAAACAAAAAGTATATGTTGAGTCATGTTACACTATTAAATGACATAAAAACTACACATATACACACCTGTACTGTTCTTGTGGGATTATTGGGAATACAATATTAAGATATGTCAGTGCAAGATGTTACGTGATACTTGGTCCCTCTTCAGTATGATTCAAGAAACCTATCCTATTTTTAACTCGACAAAATAATCCCTATCAACTATTACCTGTTGAGGGAGGTTTCATAGGCTTCTTTGGTTTCGGGGGAGGAGGAGTAGGCTGTTTGGAAGGTTCTTCCAAAACAGCTTTCCCAACAAGTCCTTTTTTTACCAAAGCCAATGTCATTGTGTACTTACTAGACACTACCTGAAAAAAAACTTAGTATAGTAAGATTAATAAAAAAAAAATCACCTGCATCACTCGTAGCTCAGCAAACAGTAATACAATGGGGAAAATTTTTTTTTGCAAAAACAAGGTATATAATTTTCTCTAACACTATGTAAGATACAGCTAACAGCACAGTATCATCCACAAACAATAAATACAATACAAAGCTTTCACTCTGTGTCATGATGTATGTTTCACCCCAATCATCTATTCTTATTTTCATATTGTGCATTAATGAAAGCATGAAGACATCAAGTATCCAGGGTGATATCACACACACTTCATACAATCCTTCTGTTACTTCAACCGTTCACTCACCGACTAACATTAATTATCCTACATGCACCAGTTCCATACTCCTAAGCCTTCAACAAGCTTCTGTATACCTGTTCAACATTTCCCAAAGGGCTTTTCCAATAGGCCTTATCATATGTGTTGCTAAATCTGTGAATGCATCATATACTGTTCCTGGCCTATGAGCATTTCTGTAATACTTCTTAAATAATCAATTACAGTACTATCTTCCCATATACTTTACCATACACTTGTTCTTACTACCCTTGCCTTTACACAATGAGTCAAAAACCACCTTCCAGTTACACAATGGGTCATAAACCACCTTCCAGTTACACAATGAGTCAAAAACCACCTTCCAGTTACACAATGAGTCAAAAACCACCTTCCAGTTACACAATGGGTCATAAACCACCTTCCCTTTCCACAATGGGTCATAAACAACCTTCCTTCAATCATGTGGCACAGTACTTCCTTTCTCTCCCACCTTTATCATCTACTTTTCTTAAATGTTTTATCACCATCTCTTTCTCAACTGTATCTTATCTTATCTGTCTTCTTAAGTTTTAGTCTTGTTGTAATTACTGTACTATATTTAATTCTCCTTTGTCTTTCATCCATCTTAAATCACAATAAAATACACTATCTAGTTTTCCTTTTCTCAGCTTGATAACACATATATTAGTAACATGCACACATTAATAACCAGAACTTAATTACTGGTAATGCTATACAGTATAATGAAACCAGGCTTTAAAATGCTGAGCTGAGAAATGGTGTTTTTAATCTAATTATCTAACAATGAACTCGGTAATTTTCATTGATAGTTTCTGTATGGTTAATGTTAATCTGCATTTTTCTGTACCATAATACAGTGCCTTTTACCAGATTTTTACAATACTGTCGGATACAGAATCTTTTGCTGATCATTAAACATTTAGTAACTGAGAAAGCTATTCCTTACCCGTTTCATGCTGACCAGTTGACCTTCCAAAGCATCAATGTCATCCAGAAGTTTGAAACACTTCTTACAAACAATGCTGGAGTGAACAGTAGCAGCATTCAGTTCCTGGTTTATGATGGAGCCCAGGACATTATGAATTTGCATCTTACCTAAGGATGTGATGACCTGTTCAAAAAGAGTAACAGAATGAGTTAAATTTCAAAATCAATGTCCTCTTGATCAAGATAAACTGACTGAGGTTCAGAGTAATACATTTCTACATGACCACAGAGGATGTACGTTATTTAGGAAATCTGAGTATCAAGATGCAGGATTTACATGACAATGATTAAATATTAGGTTACACAATGAGCTCTCTTTCTACAATATAAAGTACACTACAGTAGAGTCAACCCAATCCGTAAGGGACTTCTCAATAAAAGATATTGCCAAAAAGGGACATCTTTTTATCTGGTAAAACTAGTGAACTAAGCCAGTAAGATCCAGTAATGGGAACATTGTCCACTACTGACAAAGTGTACTGCTCTTAAAATGTCTCAAAACAACACAAAAGTGATGGTACTGACTTCAGTAGTGCAAAAAGAAAACAGTGATTTGTATCAAAGGGATATGGAAACTCTCCAAAAACTTGATACAGAAAGTCTGTGACCAATCATTTTGGATTCCTGATACTCAAGTGTGCCAAATAAGATGAATATTTTGATGATTGGGAATTATAGGTGAAATATTTATTGTCTTATTTTATATATACATTAAGAAAATGCCAACCTTCCCATTTAGGGAATCCTTCCAATAAGTGACATGGTTTGAACATATTACAGTAGTCTGGTGTTGGAAGGGTTCATCTTACAGAATACAACAGTATATTTAATCATGGTACAGTACAGTATACCTTTTCTGAGAAGACTTCCATACCACCCTTGGCAAACATGCCAAGGTGGACATTACACACAAGACAGTGTGGAGTTGCTGACCCTCCAGTTCTGCTTATTTTAGGAGCTACTTGTGGGATAGGTGGTGGTGGAGGGTGGAGCTGCTGAGGCATTTGTTGTGGCTGTGGTTGTTGAGGTTGTGGCTGCTGTTGCTGTGGTGGTGGAGGTGGTGGCTGTGGATGCTGTTGTTGTTGTTGCTGCTGCTGTTGTTGCTGTTGCTGCTGTTGGTGTGCTTGTAACTGGTGTTGCTGTTGCAGTTGTTGCTGCTGAATCTGCTGCATCTGTTGCAGGTCAAACGGTTGCCATTTTTGCAAAATTTGCTGGCGATTGTTCCAATCCATCTGTGTGAAAACGTTTACATTATTAATTTTAAATACTACACCTCAAGTTATAGGAAATAAAAAAGTGTCATGTACCACTACTGTATACAGTGCTATACAGTATTATCAGACGTAAGAAATCCCAAGCTGCATAAACTATCTAATGATATAATATATGATGGTAGGCCGAGTGGTTCCAAAATCATCACTGCTACACAGTTGCATTCTTCCAGTCACTAAATAATACAAGGTTATGGTCACTTTCATCTCTGGGGTTAGAGCCTTATTCCTCCCAGTTCTACTTTATAGTGATTCCCTCACTAAATCAGTCACTGCCATGTTACCTGCACAGTTCAGTCGGTATTGCATGAGTTCAGAATCACTATATTCATTAAATATATCTCTCCTTTCCCGAAAAGTGCATTGTCGCCACTGATGATGATGTTGGTTCACCAGGGTATCAACTAATAGACGACTATTACGAGACTTAAAAGTGCTCCCGAGGTCTTTTAACTTGACAACTATTAAGGCCCTTAAAAGTTTTGTGTATGTACTATTAGTGCTTAACAGGAAAATGTCAACCTTAACAACTGTTTGTTAGCACTTAAAAGTTTTGTGTATACCAGCCCTGGTATCCAGGAAGATAACAAAACTTAAGAACCAAAACATGAGGATTGGACTTAAAAAAAAATAAAAATTAAAATTAAAAAGATGAGACAAAATGACAGGAAGGTATTTTTCTTTTCTTTCTTTTTTACTGAAAGTTTAACCTTTAAAAAATGTAGACACACTATAAAGCAATATTTTGTTTCTTTTTTGTTCCTAAATTAGTGATATACACTACAGTATTTCTTAAAAGCTTTCCTCCATGTATTGTGTGAAGTGTGTCAGCAGTGAAGAACATATTATTTCTCCTCTTTAAACTCGAGTGATTTAAAAATTTGCAATTTAATAAAAATGGTGACATAACCAGTATATAATTTACAACTTTAATAAAAAAAAATATCACCTCATTATTCATTAACATTCTGCACTACAAATTTATTTGTCTACAGCCGAGTTTCCTTTAAATTATTGGTACCTTAATCCAAGTACAACTTGGCATAAAAATAAACTTCATAGTTTCCTAAAAGATTTGCTTGTGATAATTGTATAATTAAAATAAAAAAGATCCTTCTGAAAAAGAAAAGGTTTGGATAAAATTAAGACATTCAAATATTAAGAGTTGATTATAAGAAGAAACATCTTTGCAAAACAAAACCACCTCAAAATTAAATAATGGATAAGGAAGTAAACTTGCGAATATGAAATAAAAAGGAAATATATAAAATACATTGGTGTACCATAAGTAACTCAACCTTCTTACTGAATATTCCCTCAAAATCAAAGTTTAAGCAATTTTCTGTTCTTTTTCAGCTGGCAATTATAAGGTGAATAAAATATCAGGCAAACTGTTGTTGTACAGTACAACAAAAATACACTTGTACGAAATCTGAGATCAATGTTATTAAATTAATTCTCATATCTACAACGATTCAGCTTCAAAATAATAATCACCTTGACATATAAGCTCTGACATTACAATTCTGTTGAGTGACAAACACTAACATGAATGCTAGAGCCAAATACAAGGAATTATAAAGCAGTGTCTCAGGCGTCAGTGCTACCAAGGATTTGCTGTGAAGCCTCAGCGCGCCATCACTCGCACCGCTATATTTAAACCCAAAATCCCTTACTAGCTGTTACTCGCGAGTTTATTAAATAGCGAAGGAAAGATGCTTGATATTATAGTGTAGTGTACCTTGAGTTTGTGCAGTGACAAGTGAGGATAATGTTAGGCTGGGGTCATCTCTCAGGGGTCCGGCAGCGACGCCAATAACGACGGGGAGTGGGCGCTTGTTTTGTTCCAATATTCCTGCCATGATGCTACCTCATTATTGTGTCAACTTGTTCTCCAAAATATATCTAGACACCAATTCTAATGTAAATACTCTTATTAAGTAAAGATAACAAAATTATTTATTACATTATCAAAATACCAATTATTTATTGTGCTATTCGAAGGAACGCATTTAGTGAAGTAAAAATATAAAGAAGTTTCTTAATGAGTGATGGAAGGTAGATATATAAACCAAAAAGATAAGATAAACTATCGCGCCTCATCTCGGAAACAGAAATGACTAGCGTAGTGTATGTGGCCAGTTGTCTAATTTCTCTTTGTGTTTGTCTATTTTGTCTTTGTTAGGCTTGTAGGGGTATGCGATATTGGTTCACACTCAGGATGGGATGGAGAAAGGAAACTCACAATGTGCTCACTGTATACATATTGTATTGGATGTACAATGCAGCTTGTTGCTGGGTAGGTAGCATGGTAATAAGAGTTGAGTAGAGAGAGCTGGGTGGTGAGGGTGCCCAGAGTGAGGGCACGCGGCTTGAGGGACGCCAAGGTCGCTGGCGGGAGCGGCAGCCACCAGGCTGGCGCGGAGGAGGAGGTGTTGCTTGCTGGTGGCACTGGGTAGAAAAGAGAGCTGGTCACAGCGGTGTCAGGCCTTATAAGGCGGGGGTAGGCGTGGGTAGATAGTTGACCCCCGCTCTGTGGGCGGCGCTGGAGGCGTAGGCTGGGGAATTCGAGAAGGTTCGGTGCTTGTAGGGGAGGAATCCACTACAATACTCCCCTTCCCCTCCGGGCGCGGCTGGAGGTTGGCAGAGTTGCGTGCCACATGTGGGACATAACGGCGAGGGCGTGGATGAGTCGGCCGCAAGGGGGGGGGGGGGCAACTCTGTCTAGATACACGGGTTCTGTGGGAGAAGGAGGGTTGTGGAGGCGATGAATGTTGTGCTACCCTCGCGACAGGTACAGAGTCGTCAGATGCGCCTGTTGGGGTGTGTGGGCCTGGGTCAGGAGCAGGGGCTGCGTCAGGAAGTGTGTCCATGACAGCAGCAGGGTGCATGACAGCAGCAGTGTCCACGACAGCAGCAGGGTGCAGGACAGTAGCAGGGGGTACCTGAGGGAGAAAAGAGGGGTGTGTGGGTCCGCGGCAGGGGATACTGCTGGGCCGGGGTCGGCGTCTGAGGCAGGACGGGTGTGTTGGGGTCGGTAGGACGTGGTGCTTGGGGCAGGAAGAGGAGCTGGTGTCTGCTTAGAGTAGCAGAGCTGCTCTAGGGTGTCTAACCTGCGGTGTAGAGACAGTAGATGTAGAGCCGATGAGAGCTGCTTCTGTGTGGATAAGCCAGTCTTCCATGTTGCTTGAAGACTGGGAGAGTGATCAGTTTCTCCTCCATCCTGTGTGACTGCGAATCTCCGGGGGTCACCATTTGTAGGGGTATGCGATATTGGTTCACACTCAGGATGGGATGGAGAAAGGAAACTCACAATGTGTTCACTGTATACATATTGTATTGGATGTACAATGCAGCTTGTTGCTGGGTAGGTAGCATGGTAATAAGAGTTGAGTAGAGAGAGCTGGGTGGTGAGGGCACGCGGCTTGAGGGACGCCAAGGTCGCTGGTGGGAGCGGCAGCTGCACGGCTGGCGCGGAGGAGGTGTTGCTTGCTGGTGGCACTGGGTAGAAAAGAGAGCTGGTCACAGTGGTGTCAGGCCTTATAAGGCGTGGGTAGATAGTTGACCCCCGCTCCGTGGGCGGCGCTGGAGGCGTAGGCTGGGGAATTCGAGAAGGTTCGGTGCTTGTAGGGGAGGAATCCACTACAGACTCGCATATACATACGTACATGTAGGAGATCTCGCACTAAAAGGATGGAGATGAGAAAGGGAACTCACAAAGGGGTGAGGAGCTTTTTTTGAGGAGGCCTTCTCTGCTTATAAGCGTGGTGCTGTCTGACCTTCGAATCGAATCGATGGGTGAAGTAAAGTGTGAAGAGATCTTGATGCGGGTGCGTATATTGGTGGTACGGGAACTGGAATTGAAGAATGAAGGTGGAGTTTGGAAGGAATTGGGGTTGGTGGATAGTGCAAGAAGAAAGGCGAGGAAATTGGAAAGTAGTGGTAGGGTGCAAGGTCTTGGGGCTCAACCCAAGTGCTTCTATTTTCTCATCACTTTTACTTTTATCCTCTTCACCACTCATCGGCTCGTTAGCTGCCTGGGCGATCGGTCACGTCTCTGTTACGCACTGTTGGCAAGTACTGGGCATGCACCTGCTCCTCAATGTACCTGAACCCGCTCCAGTGTTGGTCAAGTCTTGTCTTGAAAGAGCTCACATTTGGTGCCGTCACAACACTTTCTTGTAGATTGTTCCAAGAGTTCACAACTCTCACTCCGAAAAAGTTTGCCCTCACAGTTTTCTGGACTTGCGGCTTCTTCAATCTTGAGCTGTGACCCCTTGTGGGGCGAGCGTCCGCCAGCTCCAAGTAAGGACACTCGACTGAGTAGTGCCCTTTGAGATGCTTATACACCTCAATTGGGTCACCCCTTGCCGTCTGTAGTATAAGTTAGGCAAGTTCAGGCGCTCCAATCTCACAGGGTAGCTGAGGTGCCGAAGGGCAGGCGCCAGTCTGGTGGCCCTCCTTTGAACATTTTCATCCAACTGATAGTCCCTAGCATATATCGGGGACCAGACGGGGTGACAGTACTCCAGATGGGGAAGCACTTCACTCTTGAAGATCGTTACGAGAGACTGACCGTCTAGATATCTGGACGACCTTCTTATAAGACCCAATAATTTATTTGCCTGATTTTCCTTCTTCTCGCTCATTGTCAACATACACACCGAGGTGTTTTAGATAAAACAATATTTGTTCTATTAATGATTCTGAAACGTTTGTCAAGACCAATTTGATAATTTTTGAGGTTGTTAGACATAATTCAACATCATATTATTCCTACAATAACATTTTAACTGGTATACTGCAGCCGATCTTTTGGTGAAGAGGATAAATGAAAGGAAAAGTAATCAGAGACGTGATCTATCGCCCAACCGGCTAACGAGCCGATCAGTGGCGAAGAGGATACAAGTAAAAAAAAAAAGATTGTGCGTGCCATTTTCCGTTCGTACCTCCTGGGTTTGAGCCCGAGGTCGAGGATAGATAAAGAAAGATGTTCCCTAATGCATAAACGTTTTTAACACAGCTGTATATGTATTGATGTATGAGTAGGTTAAATAAATTCTAGATTATTATAAATAGTCTAGCATAATATATAGGCCATTAAAGCACGTTTTAAGCCTTATTAATATAGGGTAAAATGCGATAAAGGTAAAGGAACTGCGCACGCTCAGAAACCAGAATATTAATTAGTAAACAAACAAATGAGCCTGGTAGTGAAGCTGTCACCTTTGCCAGTTATAAATTATACACAATTACAACGCCACGTTACCTGTGTATGGGAAACAGCAGGCGCAGGTATGTGCTTATTTTAATTCTAGTAACCAATTTTCTAAATGTAATAAAGCAGCAAAGGCAAATATACGGCTGGTGACCGTCAGTGGTGAAGTAATTAGGAGTTTTTTTTTATGAGAGTTTTGGACAATACCCCTATTAGTTGAGCAATGTGTTTTCCGATTGTTTAGACAGTTTTAAGACACTTTTCTTCTATAATGATTCCGTCATATTTAAGTAATTTGCGAGGGATACGTTATAAAAGAAGTGTCTTAAAATTGTCTAGTCTAAACAATGGGAAAACACATTTGCTCAACTCGAGATCCATATTGTCCGAAACTGCAGTTATACCACAGTTTTGTACACTGATTATGCTTTTCCTTCTATTAATTTTCTTGTGCAAATACTTAGTTTTCTAGATATAGGCGAGTTAAGATATAGGTTAGGTTAGGTCAGGCTAGGTTAGGTTAGCACATGATCTCACCCATTTTAATATTTTTTTCCAACATAATACAGTATTCCCTTATATAATTAGTGAAAATTGGGGGAAATTTTAGTCATGCACCGGTTTTTCTCTCGCTGTTAGTAATGTTTTCTCGTAATGTTTAGATAATTCTAAGACATTTTTTCTTCTATGGTATTTCCGCCGGAAATTAAGGATAACCGAGATATTATTTTTTCAATATTATTAGATTTGGTCAGTCACAAGTGTCGTCATTTGTTGTTTACGTCTCACAGAGAAGGTCTTGTGGGGTTTCGTGATATGGTGGTGATATGGTGGTGGTGAGATGGTGGTGGTGAGATGGTGGTGGTGATATGGTGGTGGTGGTGATATGGTGGTGTTGAGATGATGGTGGTGAGATGGTGGTGGTGGTGGTGATATGGTGGTGGTGGTGATATGGTGGTGGTGGTGATATGGTGGTGGTGGTGAGTGATATGGTGGTGGTGGTGGTGATATGGTGGTGGTGTGGTGGTGGTGATATGGTGGTGGTGAGATGGTGGTGGTGGTGATATGGTGGTGGTGAGCTGGAATCTGAAATAAATACATGGAGTTAATATATGATTGACATAGTGAGGTTGTGGTGGTGGTGAGATGGTGGTGGTGGTGAGATGGTGGTGGTGGTGATATGGTGGTGGTGAGATGGTGGTGGTGATATGGTGGTGGTGGTGATAGTTGTTGTTGTAATTCTTTTTATTCTTATTTGTTTTCATCATTTATTTACAAATTTAGTTCCTTAGTTATCCTATTTATCTAATTAGTTCTTGAATGAAATGTAAGAAATTTTCTGATAATTCATATAATTCTAGGTGAAATGCAATTAGTTATTCTCTTAAAACGACTTTATTTATTTGAATAATACTTGTAATAACGAAATTGTATCAATAATTAAACTAAGATCTCAATCCGTTTCTCTTGCTTATATCAAAAGTACATTACTGTACTTTATTACACACGTTCATTTCTTTATAACATTCGTGCCTTTCATCAGGGCTTTCTTGGGGCTTTCCTCTGGGCTTTCCTGGGGGTTTTCTGGGGCTTTACTGGGACTTTCCTTTGGACTTTCCTCGGGGCA